AGTACTTATTTGAGAATTTTCTCTTTTGCCTTTATCCTGATACGGTCTTTTTTTCTCTTTGACGGTGTCCACTAGCTTGGCTATGGCCATCTCTACCGCTGTGTTCGCGAACTCTTGCACCCCCACGGCCACGCAAGTTTGTTGACTTCGTTCTTTATCACCAACTGGAGTACAATTTTTATTCTCGTGTGATGCTGACGGGTCATATTTGCCCCTTTCCTCATTCAGATGTTGAGTGTTATCAACACTTTACCAGCTTGATGATTTTGAGAGAAGGTTATGAAACTATTAATAGTAAGATCCAAAGAGAGGTGTTTAGATTGGGTTTCTTTCGTCATAGATCTAAAAATTCATCAAGGTTACAAACATCTCAAATTTGTTTTTCATATCGGGTGATCGAAACACGCCGTAATTTAGTGAGCAGCGAAAGGCTGGAGGGAGAAGGTTAGAAAATGAATTACTTGGAACTAGATATCGAAGAACGTTGATTTGCCGAATACACGTCGAAACTAAAGCCAGACTATTTTTCTAGAAATAGTTAATGATGGGATGGAGTCCAGACAGGGGCGAAGCCAGGGCACAGGGCCAGTACAAAGAATTTTTTTAAAAAAAATTACACGAAATTTTTTACCTTAAAAATTAAGCCATTTTTAAAATTCGGTATGGGCCATGGCCTAGGTTGGCCCACCCCTAGCTCCGCCCATGATTCCAGGTGGAGACAATGTTATGGTACGGATGGCCGGATGGGCAAAAAAGCAAAAAACAACTGGACTGTGTCGTAATTATGCTATCAAATCAAACCGTTTGTATTTTTTTAAGGTTGCGTTTGAGAGTTGGTTTTGGAAGGGAAGGGAAGGTTGTTAGGGGTTTATGACCTTCATTTTCATGTTTGAGAGTTTAAAAAATTGGAAGGTATGATTTTGGAAGGCTTTTGTTAGTCTCAAAAACCCTCTAAATGCTCAATTTTTAAGTTCCCCCAATTTGGAGGGTTTTGAAGGATAAATAACAAAATGATAATTTAAGCTCAATTAGAAATGAATATCAGTTCCATTGTTTGAACACCGGTGGACGGAGATCTAAGTAGAGGAACGCTAGAGCTCTTAGAGAGAGGGTCAGCAGAAATTCAGAAACCCTAAACCGTCCTTTTGGCCGGGCAGGTATTTATAGAGATCCCCACCGTCCAAGGCTCTAATGAATAGATGACACTAAACATAAGCCTTGGTTTTTTTAAAAAATTTGAAATTACCAAAAAAACCCACATTGAGCCTCAATGTGGTTTGAAACGTAAGCCTCAATATTGCTGGCCATTAAACATATACTTCGTATTAAAGGTATAGACAATCTATTAAAGTTATTAACAGTCTTTCACATTATCAATTACACAGGATTTCAAGATGTAAAACTGATAATAGCCCATCATCAAGATTTAAGTACTCACTTGACCATTGATGCTTTGTTTTTTATGTACTATTTGAACGACTTATTCCAGAATCCATACCATCAGCATTAATAGCAAGATCATCTTCATGGAGAGTCAGACAGTCAGTAGCAATATCAATAGTCAGCGACCGTAGAAGTCATGGATGCATGCTACCTGGCATTTTTTTTATGTATATGGTGCATTTTTTGCTCAATGAACCAAACATTTCAATATTATGTCAAACTAATGTTTTGTGAAACTGATATTTTTAAGCAATTAACTTCATAAGCTGCAGAAGCACTAGATGATATCAGGGTAGTGTGTCAGTGTTACTTGATGTGGTAACTTGAAGTAACTTCTTTGCGTATTAACATCAAGATTACTGTCGTGGGAAGATTTTGTTGAGAACAAAAATTAAAAATCAACAGGGTAAACCGTTGTCTAGATAATCAAAGATAAAAAAAAATATTGTTGCCCAGAGCCAAAAGGCTAAAACCAATTTTATTCCAAGATGAGCAAGAATGAACCCTGGCAAGGGGTATAAATTGCCTTCTAAGAGAAACCATAATCAAGCCTTAATTAATTAAATCCTAATTAAGCCCATACTAATTCTAAGTATTCTACTAATAATAGGCCCAAACTAAAACATGACATTAATTTAATAATAATAATAAACAAAACTATAACGACAGTCCCTAACCGGCCCACGGAAATGGGTCCAAGCCCTTTCCCGCCCCCTGCTCTTCATGCTCTTTATCAATCCATCCTCCTTCAAAATAACCTTGTCCCCGAGGTTGAAATCTCGCATATCGAGGACTGAAATTTCCAGCCATAAAATAGACCGGAAAATATCCTGCATCTCCTTCTTGGACCTTTTCCTGGTCGGTGATTTCACGGTACTCATGTTGTTGGAGGTCCAACTCCTCATCCTTCTCAGCTATCATTGTCTGCAACTGCTTAAAGGGGCAGTCATGCCCTGGTGTAAATGGTTTCTTTCACCCCCAATTCTGCTAACTCCTTTGGCGGAAGACAAGTGAACTGAGAGCGTGTCGTAGGCTGCCCGGACAGTCCTGATTTTGTCCGGGGACTGTCCACTATATTTCGGAAAGCTGCCACTTGATCCCTGTAAGCTGCCACAACTTGCAGCCAACGAAAGACCTGTGTTTGACATTAAAAAGCTGCCGGAACGTACACCTGAATGATTATAATTCGGGCTGCCACTTCCTGCACTTTGGACGAACAAATTATGCCCCACATCGCGAGCTAATTCCATGGTCGTCTCCCGGTTATCCGTCCGTAATAAGCGCAATGAACTTCGGATTGCTTCCTTAAGTCCACTCATGTAGTAGCCCAAATAATGATCGTCGGTCAATCCCGGAACTTGGCTAGCAAGTTGAACAAACAAGGTATTGTATTCCTCCACCGACCGAATTTGTTCGACCCCCGACATCCGTTCAAACTTGTTTCCCTGATATCGGGAATCAAATCTGGCCACCAGAGCTGCTTAAATTCCTCCCAGGACATGTCGGGTTGGCGCGCCTTCAAACAAGTCACCAATAGAGGGCCGCCCCTTCCATAGAAACCCTAGCCGCTGCAACTTGTCTGTCCGGTGGGGTCCTGTTGAGCTCGAATTGCTCCTCCACTCTCGCCAACCACCCAATTGGGTCTTCACCGTCGAACGAGGGAATGAGGGTCGTGGCTGTGCTGGGTAGTCCGCCGTCGCTGGACGTTGTCACGCCCGCATCCGAGGAAGTTGTCGGCGATACCGACATCACAAGGGCCTGGGTTAGCGTTGCCAGGGATGCGGCGGTTTCAGCCAGCCGTATGCCGTGTTCTTCCAAGGTGCTATTCATTCGATTCTGGTCAATCACCATTCGTGCTTGTTCAGCCCCCAATCGGGCTTGCTCCTCTCCATTCGGTGCTGCTCGGTCTCTAGCTCAATTAATCAATCGTTCTGAGATCTCGTCATCCTTTCGGGACAGGATCCTGCAGGTTGGACCAATTGTTGAGAACCAAAAATTAAAAATCAACGGGGTAAACCCTTGACCAAATAATCAACAATAAAAAATACCGTTGCCCAAAGTCAAGAGGGTAAAACAATTTTTATTCCAAGATAAACAAGAATGAACCATGACAATGAGTATAAATAGGCTTTTCAGAGAAAATCTAATCAAGCTTTAATTAATGAAATCCTAATTAAGCCCATATTAACTCTACTAAGTACTCTGTCAAAAGTTGTTATATAATACTTATGGGCGAACAAACGAGTGCATGGACTGGTTGGGGTAAATTATGGGACATTAAAGCTCCTCCTAAATTTAAATATCTGGCTTGGCAAATTATGGATGGATCGCTCCCTACGGTAAGCAATATTAGACATAGAGGAGTGGAGATAGCGGGAGGATGCAAGCTATGTGGGGAGGAGGATGAGGACACTGGCCATGCATTACGTGAATGTCCGAAGGTGGAGGAAGTCTGGTGGCAAGCAATGTTTTGGGTAGAAAGGAAACGGTTTTCTTTTGGGGAATGATTTCGAAATCGAGTTTCTTCTCTACCTGGAGATAAGAGCAGCTTATTTCTCACCATTGTCTGGTGTCTTTGGATAAGACGAAATGAAAAAGTTTGGAATGGAAAAGAACTGGGTGCCGGCGAAGTTCTTGTCATGGCCACGAGTATGTGTTCTGCCTGGCAGAGAACGAATGAAGGGACGGGTACCCGGGTTAGTAGGCAGCGAGATCGGGGAGGAGATAGCAGGTGGACGAAGCCACCACCAGGGAGCATTAAGATTAACGTTGACAGGACTGTTAACTCATCAGAGGGGATCCGCGCATGGGGATGGATTGGTCGGGACACAAACGACCAATTCTTACGAGCAGGAGGGGGATCAAAAAGAGTGGATTGGTCAGTGGAAGAAACGAAAGCTTTTGGAGTTAGAGATGCGATCCGAGGAGCTTTGGAGGCGGGATGGCAGCATGTGGAACTTGAAACGGATTCTCAACGAGTAGTGGAAAATGTTAAACGTAATGGTGGAGGAGTGTCTTATGTTGATCTTATTGTTGATGATATTAGGAGTATTATGGCAAAAAAGAGTAATTGAAAGATCTCTTTTTGTAGAAGGTCTGCGAACACGGCGGCTCATGCTCTGGCACGGTCACGTGTTGATCTCTCAGATCATAAGTTTAGTTTTGATTCTATCCCTGATTGTATCTGTAGTCAATTGGCAAATGATCTTTTAATATAATTTTCTGTTTGATGACAAAAACAAAAACAAAAACTCTACCAAGTATTCTACTAAGGATGTTTTTACTTGGACTGTAATTTGCCCCAGACCAGACCAGACCAGACCAGTCCAGACCAGACCAGACCAGACCAGACCAGACTTGGATAGTTATAAAAATACAAAGAAACCAGACCTTACCAGACCAGACCAGACCAGTTCAGACCAGACCAGACCAGACCAGACCAGCAAATTACAGTCCAAGTAAAAACATCCTAATAATAGACCCAAAGTAAAACATAACATTAATTAATTTAATAATACTACGTAATAAACAAAACTATGACGACAGGATATGGGCCCAAGCCCGTTCCCGCCCCTGCTCTTCCTGGTCTCTATCTGATTTGATTTTAACGAGTCCATTAAAGGGTAGGCTATCTGATGAAGATAGCTTCTCAGTTCGTGATGGCATGACTCTGTGTTTGTGCATCTATTACAGGATAGGGTTCAATTCATCTTGCTCCTGAGACTTGTAAAAAGTCGTGTACAACTGTATAGGGGAAGCACCAGCCTTGTTGCCAGAAATGGATCCTGGTCGATATCGCCCTCAGCAAGAATGGGAAAATAACAGCGTAATTGTGGTTTCCTTCCTAATCACATATATGGAATGATAAACAAGAAACTAGGCTCATGAGACTTTCCCATTTTCAGCCCTTAAACATCATTCAAAGAATTCCATGGGACAGTGAGGATGTGGATTGGATTTCCCTAACATGTACCACGATAATTAATTGCTGACATAGCTTATTGTCTTGAATCCACAGGCTTTGGAGAGTAATGGCAGAGTAAATGAGCCTGATTTCCAGTAAGTGCATACAGACATTTATCACAAAAAGGATTCTTGAATTTCACTGATTTCATCTTAATTTATGTAACTCTGCTTCTTAGTTTACCTCCATGAGAGAAAGCTCAGACTACTCTTTGTTATCTCATTTTCTTAAAAATTATGTTCCATGAAAGAAAGTATCAGCATATAATTTATTAAACAACAATTGGCCCTTCAGTTTATGGCTCCTCCATGCATTTTATTTTGTTCCTTTCTCTTCCTGTATTTTCCTTTTGCCTCATTTTTTCTGGTAGGGTTGGTGGCTCTTATGATGATAGGAGATTTATGGATGAACGGTTCTCAAGAGACAATGTTTACTCAAGGAGTGGGTTCCACCATGATGGGCTGGACAGGGAGCAGTATCCACATCCACCACCAGCATTTGAAATGTGGCCTCAAGCGAGGAGGAGAAGTTATGAAGAAGAATGTCCAATGGATAAGGATTTACGGAGGAATGAGAAGCTGTACGTTGATCAGAAACAGACTATTTTCATGAGCCAATAAGTATCATGAGATTAACATAGTCAATAATGGTTAATGTACAGTTTTGACAACCACCATGATCATCCATTTGACAGGCCTGCCAGGTATGGAGGATGTGACCGAGATGATTATGCCAATGACCATTATGACTATCGCCATCGTGTTTCTCATCAAAGCAGGGAACGCAGCCGTGAAAGGGACTATGATTATGGCAGGCATGGTTATGATTCTGACTATGACAGAGGTAGTAGGAGAGATAGTAACTGGAGACAACGTGGTTCTCGTGATCGTGAGCATGACCGGAGAGACTCAAGCCGAGAAAGAGACTACAGTCCATATTCAAGGCATGAACATTCCCGTTCACGGTCTCGTGACCGTGGGGATTGCCTGAGATCAAGGTCTCCTCGAAGTCGAAGTCATAGTCGGAGTCATGGAGAGGATAGCTATGATGAATTTCGGTATGATAGAGGTGAAAGGCGCAAAGACTCTGATGACAGACGACATCATGATAGCTACTACTCGTTGGTAATGTACTATTTTTTGCTTTGTCTCCTTTGAAGACTTACTGCTATTCTTCATCTCTGATATTGATTATCCACATTTGTTTGCTTGTAGTCTCCTTCCGCTACTGTTGTTGTTAAGGGTCTTTCTCATAAGACCACAGAAGAAGACCTATATCAGATCATTGTACCCTCCTCTTCCTCTCTCTCTCTCTCTCACACACACACACACACACACACACACGCGCGCGCTTACACACATCAATTTTCAAATGCAAAATATAATGAGTACTAACTTTGAATGTTCAATAAATGGCCTTTATTTCACTTTTCTAACAATCTGCATATTTATTTTTATCAGGCTGAATGGGGACCACTACGCCACGTTCGTGTGATCAAAGAGCCATGTTCTGGCAACTCCCGTGGTTTCGCTTTTATTGATTTTCCATCTGTGGTATTGATCATAGATAATTTTCAGCTTTGTTTTCTTGTTATAGCATAGAGATGTGTTTCTTACATTCTAGTTTTATATAACAGGGTGCTGCCCAAGCAATGATGGATAAGCTTTGGGATGATGGTCTTCTTGTTGATGGTAGGAGGCTATTTTTTGAGTACAGGTAACCATTGTCTAAATTTTGTTTGGTTTGCAAAATAGATGTTTCTCATGGTGCACTCTAATTTATTAGAGGTGTATGATTTCTTTCTTCTAATTTTACTAGTTTATTTTGTTTGTTTCTATTTCATTCATCCCTGTGAGTGTTATTAAAATTGATTCAAATCATATAGATATAGATGATAAACAAAAAACTACTTGTTGCAGTAGCAAACCAATTGGTGGGTCCAATGGGCCACTGGGTATTGATAGTGTAAGATCCAGTCAAGGTAGCCACAGAAGAATGACAGTGGCATCTGATTGGATGTGCACTGTATGCGGATGCGTAAATTTTGCACGGAGAACATCTTGCTTTCAGGTTAATTTTGCTTCAATTAAAATCCTTGACATACTTCTTTTTCAACAGTTACCTTGTTCTACTGCGAGGTAAATTCATATTTTACCCTGTAAAATAGCTTCTTTATGGAACAGTGTAATGAGCCACGTGCAGATGATGCTCCCCCAGCTGATAAGACAATGTCAAACCCTACATCTCTTGCAAAGAGAGGAGAAGCAGGTTGACTTGAATGATTAAGCATATTTTTATTTAATGCATAACACTTGTATAGTAATGTGTCTTGATATGTTTTTAGGCCCTACCCATGTTTTGGTTGTCCGTGGCTTGGATGAAGATGCTGATGAAGAAATGCTTCGGTATGAATTTTCTAAGCATTCTCCTATCAAGGTATAACATAATTTCTAGCACCTGCCTTTTAGTCGATTTCTGCTTCTGATTTGCTAGCCATTTTTATTGAAATTAATGTTATATACTTGCAGGATCTTCGACTTGTCAGGGACAAGTTCACCCACGTTTCAAGGGGATTCGCTTTTGTGCACTTCTATTCGGTACGTTTGGTGTTGAGTTTTTGTATCGACTGTTTATTCGTACTTGTTAAGAAATAAAGAAAATAAGACTGATTAAACCTATATGAATTAGTAGATAATTACTATTTTTAGTTTTAGGACACAGGGTATCATGGTAATCAGCAATGTTCAAACACATTTTTCTTCATTGGAATGAAGTGCATTGAGACCAAATATTTTACAAACCTTATTAGGTGTCTCATGGGTCATGTATTATTTGTACTAGTAGTCAAATGTGCATATCTTGTTTAGATATTCATCCTTTTTTATTAAAGGATCAAGAATCAGTACCAAGGAGAAGTTAGACAACCACACAAGAATATTATGCTTTAGAAGAATATATGTCTGTGTCGTATTTAGAATTCCGGCATTGGTGTTCTTAATGACGCTTCTCTTTGTGACCAGGTCGAGGATGCTTCTAAAGCTCTTGAAGCAACGAATGGAACAACTTTAGAGAGAAATGGGCAGATTCTTAGAGTTGCTTATGCAAAAAGTATCCTTGGTCCAGGGTCAGGGGCATCTCAGGCTAGTACCCTTGCTGCTGCTGCAATTGAAGCAGCAACGTTCGCTCAACAGGTACACTGATTAGTTTACTAAAATAAGCTTCAATTAAGCACCCCAACCAGAAAAAGAAGACGATGCAAATAGGTCGTTTAGCAGGTCACTTTCCGGTCAACCAGCTGAAGGTTCGTCTTTGCGTTGATGTGGTATTGTAGTGGTGGCATAGAAAATATAGAGCGTCAAATAGGCCCCTCTCTGCCTCTTCGGAAATGGAACTGTACCTCAAAAATGAAATAAATTCCCATTAAATACTTAATTACACTATTGATGCACCTGCATTTTAATGAAACCATCAATTAGTGTTTTTTTACTTCGTCCCAATATGAAATTCCAACTTTGATTTTTACGATATTCAATGCTGAGATTTGGTCATTACTTTTATAATTATATACTTATAAAATCAAATGTTCTGTAATAAATTATTACTCCCTTCATATTTAAATGTTTGCTACAGTTTCCTTTTGGGAAGTATTGTAATTTTTGCTACACTTTTCCTTTTTGGTAAGCTTTTCCTTTGAAAATTCTCAATTACCCTTATTTTTTCTACTTTTTATCTTTTTTTTCATACTTTTCCACGCTCTCTCATACCTTTTCTACACTATTCATTACCCTTACTATTTCCTCTTTAAATAATGTGTCAAATCTTATTGTAGCAATCTTTAAAATACGGAGGTAGTATTTTGATAATACTTGTAAAATAAATTGGTATAAAGTATTTTTGAATAATTAATACTCAAAGTTAAGGAACTTCGACTTAAAATCGAAGTAGGAACTTAGCTTTGTGACCAAGGGAGTATTTAATATTCGCATCCCCAATGTACTTTTTCCTCACCTGATCAAATAATTGTATTGGGTTCAATTTATATAAACGTGAGATTCAATCTTGGTAAACCAGATAAACAAGATAGGAATGAGTAGCAGACTAACAGTGCACACTTGGCAGCTTATTATTCCTCTGCTGCCTGATTAATTTGTTGAAGTGCTGGTAATGAATCCGTGTAGACTTGTAGTCTGCTCTGTCATACTCTTCCTTTCATTAAAATGAAAAGTATCCAAGTCATATTTGTTTTTTTATTCCAACAACCATCCGTTGAGCTCTGTTGATGGATTTGGCACAATGGTTTTGTGTGTCTCCTTGTGTGAACATTTGCTCAACAGTACTGCATTATTTTTTAGTATGATGCTATTGGATGGGCACCAAAGGAATACAATCCAGATGAAAAGCAATCTAATGTGGTGCGAGAGCAGGCGGGAGAAGTTGCACATCAAGAGGATGGTTCTGCCCCACAGTCCGGTTTTCTGTGGGATGAAGCATCTGGCTATTATTTTGATGCTGCTTCTGGGTTCTACTATGATGGAAATACAGGTTTGTCACTTTTGTTTACCTTGATTTGGGCATTCAACATCAGTTTAGTTTGTTGAAAAGTGCACCGTTTCAAATTGTGCAATGCAATAGCGCAATAAGGCTCGCCTCCGGGAAATCCTATAGAGAGGCGCATAATTGCATGGCTAAAGGCGTTGGGGCAGAAACGTACGCTATGTTACCCAGAGGCGTACGCCTTTTGCGATGCGCAACAAGGCGGGTGAGGCGACCACCTTAGCAGATTAAGTAGGTATAATAGAAATATGTGGGCAGATAGGGCCCACTTTTTATATTTTTAAGTTCACCTACCCAAGATAGTCAAAGTCGAGCGCCTGGGCGCTTAAACGCACCAGGCGCAACGCACAGAAGCCCCAGCGCTTGAAGAACGATCGGGCTCACTCCCCTGCCTAAGGCGCAACTTAGGCGCAAAAAGCACAACTGCGATAAAAAGCGCTCGCAAATTGCGAGCGCTTTTTAATGATACAGTTCAGACCTGTCGTCAAATAAGAAGCCCATATTTTTAATAAAGCCCGTCTAAATAAGTTCAAAACAACATATACCTACGCTAAACAACACACCGTAAACCTGATCTGCTCTACTCAAGTTACCTGTTCACTCCTCCTGTCCTCCACATCAACTGCAGAAGTTGGCAGCAGCTAGCTTTCTCTTCTCTATCGTTCTGTTTTCTTTCTTTTTTCTTTTTTCAGTATCTACTTCTTCTTATATACTTTATACAACTTAAACATATATATGTAAACTACCGTCTACCAGTATAATGGTCTATCATGTGCAACAACAGTACGACACTCTTCATTGTGCCATTTTGCTTTTTTCTTTACTTTTTCAGCATCCTTCTTATATACTTCCTCTGTTCGGTTATACGTGCAACATGCACTTGGGCACAAGGATTAAGAAACCGTGTAAAGGTACTGGACTTCACTATTTTACCCTTCTAAATAGGAAAGTAGCCGCCACAAAAAGAAAGTGCTACAGTAACTAAAAGTGGATGAATGATTACAGCCAAGGAACAAAACAGCAAGCCCAGGTGTACTGCTCACTTTCCGAAGACCCCATTTGAGTCTTGCCTAAACTCCGGCAAGCGACTCCATCCTCCTTCTCCGGCGTGAAGCCAGCTCAGCATCCCCTCGTCCACTTCCGCCAATTGTCATCCCACGCAGACACCGCAGCAGTCGGCTGCCGCCTAGAGACCACCATTACTGCCAGTTCTCTCAGCTTGTGAGGGAGTAACTGAAGCAAAATCAGTTTAATGGTTATCCATATCTTCCGTTTCAGCCATTATTAAAATACAAATCAGAGAAAAAAACAAATGAGGGAGATGATGGGAGAAATGGAGAATCGGCTCAGTCGGTGAAGACTGAAGGGAATCGTAGATGGTACTCCCTGCACTTTCATCCATAAATGGCTGTAACTGAAATCCGTAATAAACAAACGAAAGTGCAAGGAGCTGTAAAGAAGAATGGATCGTGGGTGGGTCATGGGTGGAGAAAATGAAATTAAATAAAAAGTCAAAAACGGAAGAGGAAGCCAAGGGCTGTAAATAATGAAGGGTCTAAAAGTCATTTGGCTTTGTATATCTTTCCCAAAATAGAAAGGTTGCACTTAATTTGAAACTGCCGAAAATGGAAAGTGTTGCACTTATTAAAGAGCGGAGGAAGTAGTTTATACCCTATTACTCTAGATACCTAAAATCTAATTATGTTTTATTTTTCCGTTTGAAAGTTTAGGACTTTATGCTATGAATTCTGAATTTGGTTGATTTGCCTTTGTGAATCATGATCTTATTTTGGTTAATCATGACTTTATTTTGGTGAAACATGACTTTATTTGTGAGAAACCTTACTTTTTTATGTAGTTAGTTGAGTATGGTGTTATATACATCATGTTTTATTATTGAAGAATAGTATGTGTGATACTTCCTAAGCAATGCGCTTGGCATGAGTCAGGCAAGCGCTTTTTTGTAGTACATATTTCATACCAAACAAAATATATCTGCAAGTCACTTCTCCAAATTTAACATCAATATATATATATATATAGAGGAATGTTCAGGTCCGAACATTCCTGGTCCGAACACCGTCTGAACATGGACGTTTGGGGCCCTTCCCCGTGGAATTTTTTGATGAAATTTTTTGAGCATGTTCCTCATCAAGTCTAGTTTGTCCATACCAAATTTCAGCTCAAAATTCGATCGGGAAGGCATTCAAATGATTTTTTGAAGTTGACTGCGTCAAAATATACATATAAAAACGCAGTCAACTTCAAAAAATCATTTGAATGCCTTCCCGATCGAATTTTGAGCTGAAATTTGGTATGGACAAACTAGACTTGATGAATCTGATGATGAACATGCTCAAAAAAATTCATCAAAAAATTCCACCAGGAAGGGCCCCAAACGGGGATGTTCAGACGGAGGATCCTGTCCGAACATTCGGACAGGATCATTTTTGTGTATATATATATATATATATATATATATATATATATATATATATATATATAAAACCCAGTGCAAACCATCCTCGGATGGGGTAAGGGCCGGGGAACACCTTACCTATTTATTAATAAGGAAAGATACAGAGTACAATGGCATAAGACGGAGCCTACAAAGAATTATAACTTTAATTAAAATAAGCTATTTTGACCTGGTAAAGTAAGAACATTTAAATTGAAACATGCAAAATACCTACTAGTTTTTGTACATAAATATTATGTTATTAATATTTTTACATTGAATTATACTTATTTGTAAGGAGTAGTATATATTGTATGAATATATATATATATGAATATATATATATATATATATAGAGAAATCATCTCATCAGGCCGGCCTGACGGGCTGCCCCGTCCGGCCGAGCCCGTTTGGGCACCTTCCCGGTGGAATTTTTTGATGAAATTTTTTGAGCATGTTCCTCATCAAGTCTAGTTTGTCCATGCCAAATTTCAGCTCAAAATTCGATCGGGAAGGTCGTCAAATGATTTTTGCAAGTTAACTGGTCCGGAATATGTATTTTCCGGACCAGTTAACTTGCAAAAATCATTTGACGACCTTTCCGATCGAATTTTGAGCTGAAATTTGGTATGGACAAACTAGACTTGATGAGGAACATGCTCAAAAAATTTCATCAAAAAATTCCACCGGGAAGGTGCCCAAACGGGCTCGGCCGGACGGGGCAGCCCGTCAGGCCGGCCTGATGAGAAGAGCTCTCTATATATATATATATATTCCTATATAATTCAAATGTTGTTTGAATCGAATATCATAGTACTTGTATTCATATTCGAAAAGTATTCAAATAAAAAAAATTGTTTTCGTATTCTACTTACTTGAATTCAAATTGACATTTTCGAATTCGAATCACGAATCGAATCAAAATTATTCGATTCGTTTACAATCCTAGCGACGACTAGTCCTCCACAGTGGGGCTGGGTCTATGGTTACGACGAGCGGTGGCGGTTTGCGGCCTGCATGGCGCAGGCGCAAATGGCTAGGGTAGGCGGTGGTGCGATTGGTGACGGTTGGGCAGGGGAGGGGTTGGGCAGAATGTTAGGGCCGGGGGAAGAGGGGGGCTGGTGAGACTGAGGAGGAGGGATGGGGCGAGCGCCGATTACTAGATGGGGCAGTGATTGGTCACTAAAGGTGGGGCAGGTCACTGGCGGGCAGCGTGTCACTCGCAGGTGGCGATTGGTGACTGGCGGTGGTCATTGGACAGCTGTGATCACTGTGACGCGGTGGGTACTGTCTGGCCGGGTAACTGTCATCAGGTGAGGGAGGGTATAAAAGTCGTATAAACCTCCTTTTCTTAATATTTAAAAAATTATTACTATTAGTATCCATGAGTTCTCATTTAGTAATATTGCTGTTAAAATCCCAAATATATATTCTACACCGTGCAGAAATTTATCACTCATATTTCATTATTGTCAATGAAAACAACCTCATGCCAAAAAAATATTATTTTTAATCGATGAGTCTCCTGGCAGAGTTAAATTTTACAAGGAAACCTAAAAATAAAAGGGAATGAAAATAGGGAGACAGAGAGGAGCATTTGGAGAAAATAAAAGATAGGTTCAAACTCATTTTTTTCTAAATATTCGTTCAAACTTGTACTATTTACCCTAAATATATGCTAAAAATAACCATCTCCGTCGCTTACAATTTGTTTGAGGGATAAATGGGGTAATTGTTTTCCTTTCCCCACACTTGTGGAGATCCGACATACCCTTAAAACATTATCTTCTACAAATTAAATTTGTTGATATGCCTAGTTCAATCTTTGCAGGTTTGTATTATGATGGAAACAATGGAATCTGGTACTCTTATGATCAACAGACCCAGCAATACATTCCGTGCGACGATCAGAATGACAAAGCCTCACGGAATCAAGAAGAAAATGCATCCAATGCAAGAAAGGTTATCATATCTGCACCTGCAACTATGACATTATCATCCAATGATAAGACCCCCTCGTTACCAGATGCCATTCAAGCTGCAGCAACCGCTGCAATGTCCGCAGAGAAGAAGGAGAAGGAGAAGTCATCAAAAGAAATAAAAATTGCAAAAAGCAGCATTCTTGCCAACAAGAAGAAGATGAGTAATGTATTAACAATGTGGAAGGAAAGAACTCATGAAAGTCAAGCACCCCGTGTGGCTCTTGATGACACTCAGACAGTAGATGAGGAAAGATCCAACTCGGCCACAAAAGCTATATCAAGCAGTGAGTTAGTCGTCCCGACTGTTCAGTCAGTGGGAATGGGAGTAGTAGTACCTGTGAAGGGTGTGATTAGAAGTTCAGGAACGGGAGTGGTGAAAAAAGACACCACTTTATACACAGGATCTTTAGGAACTTCTTCTACTCCTTTGACTAATACAGAGGTCTCAACAATTGCAACATCCTATAGAATGGATCCATCTGCATTGAGTTCCCACACATCAGCCGTGACAGCTGCAAGTGGGGGTAAAAGAAGGTTTTCTGAAATTCCGTCCCAACACATTTCTGATAAGGAACAATCTACAAATAATAGTAGTGCCTATCGAGATCGTGCTGCTGAGCGGAGGAGTTTATATGGTTCATCATCATTTGGAAACAATTTATCTGATCTTGGGGATTCAAGTAAGAATTGATTGATTATTTGGGCTATTAATGATTAGTCAGAGTTTTTATTTTTATATTTGGTAGATTTAATACCCACTTTGGTAAATCTGGACTATACATTATTACTAGATTTGATCCTCGACTTTTTATTGCACTCATTTGGGTCCTTGGCTATGACATTTGGATCCAATGCTCTCATGCAGATTTGGTCTAATAAAGAGATTGTCTGTTCTACAAAAATAGACCAAATCTTGGACTCAAAGTTTGCCATCAACTATGTAATTTGGACTTAATTTAATCCTCAACATATGAGAACGCCCTTTAAAATGGAGCAGAATATGCATAGAAACTATAGATACTAAATTGAGTCTAATTTGGACCAAATTGAGAAATACTTCCTCTGTTCCTACGTAACCGGCCATTAATCAAATCACCACGCATTATAAGGTTAGTTTTGCATCAATATTACTTTACATCAAACTTTAAAAGTTCACGTGGTGATAAACAGGGGGGTAGTTTTGGTATTATAAGATATGTTTGGATTGATTTACAAAGTTTTTTTTTTGAATTTCTTAATATGTGCAAACCAGGAAACGGACTGTTAAAACTTACTACCTCCGTCCCTTTTTTATTGGGACGGAAGAGGGTGGCACGAGTTTTAAGAAAAGTGGGTTTGTGTGGTTGATATTAATTGATAAAGTAAGAATAAAGTAAGAATGATTTTGAGCCACACAAACTTTACCAAATAAGGTATGGAACAATTAAATAGGGACATCCCAATATGGTAAAACGGGACATTTAAAAGGGGACGGAGGGAGTAAATATTAAGTAGGAACAGATAATGTAGTGTATAGTTGAGGGACCAAATCAGATATTAACTCACTTTTGGACTTATTTGTGCTTTAGCATTTTGCTTGTTGCCTATGTATTTATCATTGACTGGATATAGTTAATTAGTTATGTCTGAGATCTAATATTCATGATTCCTGACCCTAGGTCCAAACAATGCTTAAACAGCGTAATGGGAAATTTTATTGTGAAAGAAGATTCCACTCGAGGTTGATGTACTCTATTTTATATATCTGTATTGACTTGTGAAGAATTTGTTTTGTTGTTGTGGGGAACGAAGATCGGGATTCCACTTCAAGAAGGGGTGTCTTTGATCCAACACCTTTCCCACCGGGAGTCGGGGGTGGTCGTGTTTCTGGAGATGCAAATCCTCAGAGCTATGAGGTTATAACTTCTGATAGAGCGATTGATGAGAGTAATGTTGGGAACCGTATGCTCAGAAATATGGGCTGGCAAGAGGGCTTGGTATCACTTCTCACTCTTCACTTCGCTATATAGTGAGAGCCTGTTTAGTAGGATATAGTTTTGGCTTTCCGGCCAGTTTTTTCGCTAAACACTAATGAGGTGGCCGATGTGGCTGATATTTTCAAAAACATTGTAGGGATATATAGTGATGAAACTAATACTTTTAGTTTTATTTGTAGATATTATTTTCTTTATTAATATATTTGTAAATACTACCTCCGTCCCCCTAAGATTGGGACAAGAGGGAGTGGAGTGGTTATTAAGAAAACTGAAATTGTGTAGTTGATATTGTATCGATAAAGTGTGAATAAAGTAATAATGAATTGCAACCACCCAAATATTATCAAAAAGGTAAAACGAGAGAAAGATAGGGGGATGGAGGGAGTAGTTTATTATGAATTGCAGCCACTTCAGCCCTTTTAATCCTTACCCAACAGGCTCTTATTACATACTCCTGTTCTCAAATAGCTATCCTATAAACTAAAGATGTTTTGCTCACAAATAAGTATCTTTGTTTCAAAAACCAATAAAGTAATAGTAGTAAAATGACCAAGTATAAAAAACCATTTTTGTTTCGCTTGGACATGAACTCTAATGTCTACAAATCAGTTGGGTGTCTTCTCAAAAAAGAAATCAACCAAGTATCACCTTAAAAGCCCCAATCTTTCTTAAACGGAAAGATATTCATGAGTGGGTGAAGTTTGCTAGCTATGGAAAAATAAAAATAAAGGTGATGTATTGACTTGAAATATCTACAAATTGCTTGTATTGAACTATTGGTTCATAACTTATTGCATCTTCTCTCCTGAACAACTAAATACTTAACTTGGGGGAACCGCAAGTCCATGAACTGGCATTGGATTTGAAAAAAATGTTTTAGTTGTTGCATGTTAATCTGATGTATAGGGATTGGGTAAGGATGGAAGTGGGATGACAGAACCGGTCCAAGCACAGGCCGTTGACAAGCGGGCAGGACTTGGAAGTCAACCAAAGCCAATGAAAGTGGATCCAAGCCTTGAAGCACAGGCTGGTGATAGCTACCGAACTCTTATACAAAAGAAGGCCATTGCTAGATTCCGTGAGATGTCTTAGCTAACCATAGAATTTGGCGTTGTGTTCTTTGTTAATTGTTATACTGATGTGACTTGGTGTATAGACCTATGCTACACTCTAGGTATAATGTGATTTTGATTTTGAGCAATTTTTTATTTTGCTTTTTCCCCTCATTGCCCAGTTGAGCAAACTCTGGTGTTCAATACTTGGTTACTTGAAATGTATTTCGTTTATAATAATGATATCCTTTTAACTACTCTCTAGATTCATGTCTTTTGTAGTATGTATGAAAAAAATTTGTAATTTATATGTTATAGCATAGTTGTTCGCCTGCATTGCTATGTCTTGGCGGTAATAATAATTAGATATATTTCATGTTTGAACAGTAATATATTGTAGACTCATACTATTTTCGTCCCTTAAAACTTTGTCAAAGTTGACCGGCACAGAGAATAATAAAGTAAAAACTGTGTAATTAAGGTTTGTAGATGAGAGAGAAATAACAGAAATCACAAAATAATTGATTAAAAGGAAAAGTGAGAAAGTTTTTTGGGACGTCTCAAAAAGGAAAGATGACAAAGTTTTAAGGGACGGAGGGAGTAGTAATCAGATAGTGTAAAGCTCAGGGCCGCCTCAGAGCGCGTCAGCTTGATATGGGTTAAAATGAAAATTAGTAATATATATTGTGAATTGTTTATAGGATCTAAGTTGAATATAATAAATTTTAATTATAAACTAATCACAATTGATTAAAAAATTGTATTTGTTAAACTCCGTTTAGATCATTTTTGGTATCATGCTTGTTCTAAGGTAGGATAAAAAAAAAGGAGGGTGATGTGATAACTGATAAGTGTCTTACGGCGAAAAACATCACTTAATCACATAACTGAATATTGTTACAATTAGATCGTTCCTCTGCCTGGGGTGTTGTCAAATATGCAAGAACGTGCTACACTTTATAGGTCTGAGTAAGGTGATAAAAATATTAAGGTTGCTAGATCGTCGCCTGGAAGCGACGCGCCACTCCAATGTCCGAGGATGGTGTCAAATGTTGGCATGGTGCAGTGAGGGCAATGTGGTATGAAAAAAAAAATGACACCCCATGACCCCACCCCCAGAATCGACCAGATAACTATTTGGGAGGATTAGTTGAGCAATATGGTATGAAGAAGAAAAGGCATGGTGCTAGATTGCATTTGAGGCATGGAGTGTTGGCTCTCATTTGAGGTAGGTAAGGTTGTGAAGAGTATCAATGTTATGTGTGTGTAAGCAACTAAGTGGGTTAGAGAAAAGACACGGGGGAAATCCCGGGGGTTTTAAGTTGTGATATTATGGGAGAGAATATCAGAAATGGAATAGACATTATTATGACGCGTGATTATGGTGAGGGTGTAGTAAAATAAATTAAAATATCATGTAATGATGATTTTGTAAATTTATGGCGTGTTCATATAGCATGGAATATATGGACTTATTTATCTTTTGTGAATTTATTACTACGTATTTAATCATTGTGCACTTCAATATATGTAATATATAATTTTTTTTATTGATAATGTTATTAATTAAATATAAATCATTCGTTTCATATATTGTGCATAATGCATTTTTTCATATATTCGTTTCATATAATTTTTTTATTGATAATGTTATTAATTAAATATAAATCATTCGTTTCATAAATGTAAATTTATAAATTTATGTACATTGTGCATTTTTTACATTGTGAAATAATTGCAATAATGTCTTTTATTTTCAAAATTTCTTCTTCTAGACACAATAAGCGACGAATATTTGGATTTTGTTTAAAAAAGTTCTCCCTGTTATTTAAAAAATGCATCAAACCCTCTTGTATTATAATTAATCATGCGCAAAACCCTTCCAAGAAAAAATTTAATTTTTAAAAAAATGAAAAACGATTAATTTTTTTTTTGTATAGTTTATAAACTTTGACAAACCTACTTGCGTATTCAACAATATTACAGAGTATTAAGAAAAATGATTTCAAAATTGTAAAATTTGTTCTTGGGGGGGGGGGGGGGGGGGGGGTTGATGCATTTATTTAAATCATAGGGGCTAATGCGCATAATTTATATTTCACGAGGGGGTTTAGTACATTAATCCCCCAATCGCCCGTTCACTTGTTCTCCCTGCCTCCCATTTATTTTTATTTTCTTTCACCCCAAATTATTTCTTTTGCATTTATTTCTTCCTAACTCTCGTTCTTCTGAAAGGCTGCATGCAAGGGGGTTGACAAAGGTGAGGGCGACAGGCGGTGGACGATGGGAGCTGGGGAAGTTTTGGGAGATAGGTGGCGCGCGGCGGCGGTTGGTCGGTTGGAGTAGTTGCGGGCGACAGGTGGCACAATGGCAGCGGTTGGGAAATTTGTGGACGACGGGCAGTAGGCGATGCAGATGGGAACAGATGTATTTGTGGACGACGGGCGGTAGGCGGCGCGTATGGGAACGGAAGTAGTTGTGGACAACGGGCAGTAGGCGGCGCAGATGGGAACGGAGGTAGTTGCAACTTGTGATCAGGGATGGAGGGAGGTGTATGGGTAGGGGGCCTTGCCCCCCCCCCCCCCCCCAACTTTTTTTTTTGCTAGTTAGTATTAGATATGGAATAATCAGAAAAAAATTGGACCATAATACATGGTAGAAGCCTGTGTTTGAGATGCTTTCCGATAGTATTTTTGATTAAATCTTGTAACCATGTTTTTCGTGAAGTGTTACTTATGTGCACCAAATTTCAGCTTAGAATTCAATCAGCAGGTCAACTAAATAAATTATGGAAAAACACTGCGTTTTTATATATATTTTGGCGCAATGTTTTTCAATAATTTTTTATCGACTTTCCAATTGAATTAATTATTAACTATGATTTAGGGTAAATAATCTGCACATCATGAAAAACAATCTCAAAAAATTTTATCAAAAAAATCAATTCGGTAGCACCTCAAACATAGGCAGTCGAACGGCGGATCTTGCATGGCAGTTTTGACTGGATCGTTCCTTATGAAATATCTTCATATACGTAGTATATGATTAAAAATATGATAAAAGTATGTTTTATTCCACAAATACTCCCGTCGTTCCATAAAAGCTGACCAATGTTGACTTGCACATAGAATAATAAAATAAAAATTGTATGGTTGATATTTGTGCAGAGGAAAGAGAAATAGTTTTAGCCACATATATGTTGCTTTTAATGGAAATGACAAAGTTTTTTGGGACAACCCAAAAAAAATTGGCCAAGTTTTATGGGACGGGGGAGTAGATCTTACTTAGTCCTATAAAAATTAATTTGATTAAAATTTGCCAAAAAATAGTGAATAAGACATATTTTGAGTTTTTTTTAACGAAACTAGCTTAACTTATCATTACCAAACGGACCAAACCAAAACAGGTTACAAAGTGAGAACAAGCCTCCAGCCTACCGTCCGCCCAAGGACCAAACATATTTTGAGATTAAACAACGACAATACTATTATGAACTTTATTTTTGCTTTAATCCTATTTAGTGAAATTTCTTTTATTGTTAGTGTTCTTTCTTGGCCCCCTACGACTAAATCCTGACTCCTTCCCTGCTTGTGAACGACCGGCGGCAGAGCCTAGGGAAGCTGTTTGCGGCAAATGGGGATGTAATGAGCAAAGGGTATTGCGGGATGAAATCTAGGAACTTGTGGGCTACGAGTCTAGGACCGACGATGATTGGTATAGAAAGAAAGAGAATAGCAAAGAAAGAAAGGAAAGACTCCAAGAAGCACTAGTCGAATGGAAACATACGGGAAGAAGGGGAAAGAAGAAAGAGAGAATGACAAGAAAAAAAAGGAAAAGTAAAAAAATGTTAACACGTGGACATCTAGCTTAGCAATAACGGCAAAACCTGTATCAGACCAACTAAATGGCTAATTTGACCACTTTTAATTACTTAGGGACTTAATTGAATCACTTTATAGTATGATTACTCAATTAACTTTTTCGTAAAACTACATGAACTTATTTGAGTGTTTTTCCAAAATATTTTTTGTATATTTGATTAATATTTATTAAAGTATAGGTGCTCAAACATTTTGACTTCAATATGATACTCCAGTAAATAAATGTGTGCCTTAGAATAATGTATCTTGAATATAATATCAAAATAATTTTAAAATAATTTTTTCTACTTCAACAATATTATTAATTATATATTTTGAATACGGAGTAATTAATTATACTTTATTTTATTTAGTAAATAACCCGATATAAAAAAAATTACTTTGGGTTAATATTAGTTTTCCATTCAAATCAACATAATATGCCCTTTTGGTAATTTTACACAAATAACAGTTTGCAACAACATGTTATCCAAACATCTGATTCTCTATTTCAAACAATAGAATCAATACCAAACTCTCCAAGTAGAATCACTTTATCATACAACAGATTTTGTTCTTCTTCTAACTTAAAAATAGAAGCAGAATCAATTCCAAACGCTCCCATATATATCATTCTAAGTTTTGCTCTTGATGGAAATTAAACTATTGATCCTTTGGCTTTTGAATCTTCACATAGGGGAGTAAACCCAACAAGTATTTGACGATTGGATCCCATCCCCGTTGCTGAGCACGGCAATGCATCAGAAATGTGTTGGCAAAATACGAGTTGAACCCCATCATCACGTGCCACATTGCATGACCTTGTGGATTGAAGGGCCATGTCGAGATATACTTACAAAACAAGCCATCTAATAAAAAGCATGTGGTCCCAACCAGTAAAGTGGCCACATACAATTTGGCAAGACGCTTAGCTGACGTGTCTTTTGTGTGAATGTAATATTTGTACGCCCGAGGAATGCACAGAAGGCAGAGTAATGCATAGTGCACCTTGAAGACAATCGCAAAGCGAACCTGTGAATGTACAATGGCAAATGCTGCACCATATAGGAACAAAAAGGTAGGCATAGTGCTCCTGTAGTGCCAATCTGGTGAATAGAGGATGTACACATAAAGAAGCATTTCCCACACCATTGGTGTCTCATCACCTTGTTGTTGCCTGTCAAACATGAAGATCTTCAACTACAACAAGATCATTAAACATAGTTTTATTCTAAATTTCTTCTTAGCGGCCCTTCTAGTTCTGTCATCAGGTAAAGAGGTATATTGTCAATTGTCATGTCTAAACGCATCACATATTTCTTGTATCATGTTATAAACAATCAAACCCAACAATTGTTTAATTCCCATTTATGCAAGATATTATCATCATGAAGTAAGAATATT